GGGGTAATGTAAACTCGGTCGTCCTCCCCATCGCGCGTGGAGGTCATTCGGTAGTCCACCTCTGCACCGATGTCATGTACTTTGCAAAAGTCTTCAAGCATGGGAATGAAAGGCAAGAAAAGAGGGCGATTGAGACCGTTCAGGTACAGGTCCTGTGGAGGGCGGTTGGAAGTTGCCACGACGACGGCCCCCAGCTCGAAGAGCACAGAGAAGATGCGCTTCATGATGATAGCGTCGCTGATGTGTGTCACCTGAAACTCGTCGAAGCAAAGCAGCCAGCCCTCTCTCATCATGTCCGTTGCCACCTGTTCCACCAAATCGTCGGCAGTGTTGTCCCTGTTCGCACTGCTGCCCTTTTGCTTCTTGTGCAGCCTTGTGTGCACCTCAATCATCCACTCGTGGAAATGGATTCGCTTCTTCTCCTTGACATTGATTTTGTCGTAGAACATATTCATCATGAAGGTCTTGCCAGTTCCTGTGCCTCCCCAGAGGTACAGCCCTCTCTGGCCGGGTGCCGGCTTAAGCGAGACCTCGGCCTTGGGTGCAGGAGCCTTGGCTGCTGGCAGGTCTTTTCCTGGGTTGCTGTTAAGGAACTTCAATGAAACTACTATCGTGAGGAAACCCTCTTGTTTACTATCTTATATATCCCCATTCTGGTAACTTAATCTAAGTTCCTTAAAAGCAACCCAGTCCTCCAAAGAGGCCTCCGAAGTGGAAGAAGCCGCCACCAGCACCGGAGGAAGTGGGGGCCGGCCCGGTGGACTTGGCAGCTCGGGTCATCCTGGGTTGCGGTTAAGGAACTTAGTTTAAGTTACCATAATGGGGATATATAGTAAATGAGAAGGTTCCTCAACAGCAACCCAGCATCTTGGGGGAATAGCTCGTCAAGTCCTTCGCGAGGTCGTCGAGCATCTTCATGCACACTTCCTGGCGGGGGTCTTCCTGAATCTCGCCTGAAGCCTTTAGCTGCAGGTAGTTCTCCAGGCAGCCACCAGGCATCGCCGAACTCCATCGCCTTTGGCCGACGGGGGAGGTGGCAGCGTAGCCTGCGGCTGGCCAACGCAGAGAAGGACCGCCATGGAACGTTCTGAACGGGGTCAGGAAGTGCAGTCTCGCCAACGGCAGACCAGCGCCCCTCACGCTTTTCTGCGACAGAGCACAAGTCGATGATGGGCATACGCGCCGCATGGCGGCATGTCTCAGCATACCTCTAAAACCCTCCAGCTTAAGCCCAAAGTGCTGCAAAGTCGGCCGTGGAACCTGGCGTGTGTGAACCGCGAAGACATTCGCAGTCACCTCCGACGGGTAGGCCTACCTGAAAACCCACTCGACGCCCCGCGACCACCAATGTTAAGGCACAGGCCAACAAGACAGCTGCGAAGAAACGTGCTGATGCCATGTGCCTGACAGGCGCCCCTTGCAGGCACCAGCGAATGTCGAATGACGGCTCCCGAAACACCGGCAATACAAGCAACCTGCAAACACTGCATGGAGCCGCATGGAAGGCAGCAGGAAACTGATGCTCGAAGTCTACATGTTCAGCGTAGCACTTGAGCGGACTATTGGGCTGGGTCTTCCAGGTCGGGAGGGGCATTCAAGGTCTCCTCTTTGCACGTTCGAGCCCCAAGTTATCTCAGATGGCGGTACCTCATTGCAGCAGGGCTCGTGTCCAAACCTCGGAGGGCGCTTGCCAGTCAGCCGTCTTTTTTTGTTTGGAGGCATTCTGCATCTCTGCTTCTGACAGAGTTAAGTACTTGAATCAGAACAGAAGCATACCTTTTATGCATCTTGGACTTCGGAGTGTATGGTTCGTTGATGTCGGGCTTGCAGGCTTGAGCCTTTGTTTCCTACAACAACATGTCCGCGCCTTGGGTGCCCAACCCCAATGAAACGCCATAAACTTTTACAAAAAACTGAACCCTAGCCCTGAACCCTGGACCCTCCCACTTCTGCACCAAACGCGCCGAATGGTCTTACTCTCAGGATCCTGGTTGGCCACACGACTGACCTTAAAGGGTTTGTGGTATAATATAGTAGTATAAGTCTAAGAAGGAACCTTCAGGAAGTGTACTTAAAGTGGATTTTATCAAAGATGATTTCTGGGGACCTAGCGTCAGACTCACTGAAGAGGACGCCGGAGGAGCGCGGATTCTTGAGCCAGACCGGTGGCGCAGGTCGGCCGGAATCACAGCTGCACCTACTGATATTCAAAAGTATACACGATTTCCAAGATCTCTTCTATGGTCTGGTTTACATGCTTGATTGCAAACTGCTTATAGATGTATGTGTAAATGCATATGGGTATATGTATATATGTATACACACACATACATACATACATACATACATACATACATACATACATACATACATACATACATATGTGCGTGTGTGCATCTAGCTGCTTTTGTCCAATTTTCGAGACCCAACATCCTAGAACCTCAGCTCGGCCCCGTCGATCTGTCCAAAGACGCCCTTGCCTGTCCTTACGAGCTTGGGCCTTTTGGGAGACATCATTATGGTTCCCGTTTGGGGTCTTATGGGCCAGATGATGATCAAGGAGAATCAAGGAACAAAGCAAGAGGTGGCTCTTGTAAGACAAACTTTTTGCATGAAAGAAAAGTAACGAGCTCCAGCCCGGGGTGCTGCTACTGCTACTACTACTACTACTACTACTACTACTATTACTACTACTACTACTACTACTACTACTACTACTACTGCTATTATTTGCAGGGATCTCTCTCTATTACTGTGACTCAAACTGTCACAGGGCCACAGGCCTGTATCTCCTTCTGCTCCCGGACCTTGTCAGCCTGAAGCAGGGCCAGGGTTGGGGGCTGGCAATGCTTGGAACTCATGGATTTCCCCGGAAGGTGAACTCCCTCTCTCCATGGTTCTCAGTAGGGAATGGGGAATGGACCCCTATGATAGTCCCTTGTTCCCCTAGCTCCCTAGTAAGAACCACGGAGTTCTGGCAACGAGGCGTGGCACGTCACGCAGCAGATTTGAGGCCTGCGTTTGTGGGATTGCCAACGCGGTGGTGGCACCATCATTCACCTGGGATCAGTATCTTCACTTCACGGAGAGTGGCAAGGCTCTCGGCATTTGTAGTTCACGCAATGAAATGCCACTCTATCTACCAGGCTTCTGTCCAAACTCAAGTACAGCATGGTCGAGTATACAAGGACTGCCTCCAAACAAGTAAGCAATGCCGACACCCTAAAATCCTAAAACCCCACCCGGCTTTGTAATGCCGTATAGACAACATAGAGTATGTTATGCTACAGTTCTGATAAGGAATCCGAAAAAAGTGGTCTTGGAAGTTATTCAGGGCTACGGGGCTCATTGTACTACACTGCTAAAGAGACTATATAAGGGGATGCCATGACTCATTATTCCGTTCCCTGGTTAGATATCACAAAGCCGCCACCTGCACATCGAACGTCCAGCGCTCGAGGGTCTCCTCCGTCACCTGAAAAACTGAGAGCATAGTAGAATATAAGACTAGATTAGGATTAGGGTTTAGGACTTAGGATACAGCTGTGAGAAAAGAGTACAAGATGTAGTTACAATGTTGTTGTTCTCAGATTCTCTCTGTCGTACGAGAAGATGCGATAGAGGTGGTAGGGAACAAGAGTTCCTCTTTGTCAAGTGTTCGAGTAAAGAAGGCTGGAAATGTATGGGGATGTTGAGCGGCAGGTCCATCCTGGCCGGATATGTCTTTTGGAAGGACAGGCCACACCTTCCTAGTCTTGCATTTGCGCAGATATAACACAAAGCACGAACAGCACACCCGAAAGCAATGCGCTTTAGCTAGCAGCGAAGCAAGCAACACAGCCCGCACTGCCTGCGAGGCCACGACAACAACCAGCTTTTTGACCTCAAATTGGTTGGGGCTGGCGGCACACGAAACCCAGAAGCTGTTCTGCGCAGTTTCTTCAATGTCGCCCTTGCGCTGCCACGGACAGGGAGGAGCCTTCCTCTTTGGCCTACAGATTCTCATCACCAGCTGGGAAATCTGAAGCATCCCTGCCGGTGTGCCTAAACAACAGCAAAAGACATTATCACCGGTGTCACAGTCACCCTGGCCCTTATCAGGGCTACCACCAAACCCCAAAGTCGAAAATCCAGTATGGCCATGGTATACTATGGTAGATTGCGGGTATGCTAAAGAAAATTGCGGTTCATGATGGTATGTTAAAGCTACTAAGGCATGGCTTTTGAGCCTTGGAGAGAACAAGGATGCGACTTGGCTCACCATCATCCAGCCCCGCAGCTGCTTCAGGACCTGAGGAGTAGAGAGTTTCGGGTGTTGGGTTCAGGGTTGAAAATGATAGTATGCCATGGAAAACTATAGAAAACTATGGTGTGTTGTAGGAAACTATGGAAAACCACCCACGGTACATTATGGCATACGGTGCTATAGGACTTCATGGTACATCATGGTATAGTATAGCTACTGAGGCATGGCCGGAGCATGAGGTCGAGGCTGATGGTTCCAAATCCAGGCTGCGGGCACGAAAAAATTCGCGCTAGCGTCTCAGAGAAGGATTGCCTCTAGTAGCAGTTTATGAAGCATTTAAAGAAGTATTGCTACAACGATCACATCTGGTTAAATTCCGTTGCTAAGAAATAGGGGCATGTTTATTCTAGAACGCTTCTGCTGTCATAGTTGTCCTCGCCGGAGCCGCATGCTCGCCGTGGCAGCGGTAGTGGTAGTGGCAGTGGCAGCAGTGGCAGGAGCAGAATAGAAGCAGCAGCAACGGAAGTAGAAGTAAAAAGCAATTCGTAGCAGCAGCCGTCGTCGTCGTTGTCGTCGTTACCGTGGCTGTTGTCGTCGTTATCGTCGTGCTACTGGTAGTAGTAGCGGAAGTCGGAATCGCAATCATTCGGTTCATGTCAACAGCAAAGCTATAGTACCAGGAGCCGTGCTAGGGACTAGCACTGCCCCTGAAACTCCTTCCCTTCCCTCGCCTCGCCCAAGTACTCCTGCAGGCCTTTGTCTTTGGTCACGAGGATGGACCTATGGATTCAGGCCGAGATGGAGGCTCTTGGAGTTGAAAATTGCAAGGTAGGGTTTCGGGCTCAAGGTTTGGAACTCATGATTTAGGGTTTGGGGTACCGGGTAGAGTCCGGGATCTGTGGCTCAGAATTCCGATCTCGGGTTCTGGGAGGTTAAGGATGCAGGGTTTTCCGGATTTCTAGGGCTCGTGTCGCTGCCTCTGCTGTGTGCCTGGCCTGCTGATTGGGTATGCCTGGACAGTCTTTAAGAGGTCTCACGTCCTCACCATAGATCCGTATGCGAGAGGGGTCTTGCTGTAAGGGGCTTTGGAAGCCACCCAGAGACACAAGATATTGAAGATCTTGTCGGTATCGCCATCCCCACATACTCCATGTCCAATATGTCCAATCGGTCCGGCAGGAACTCAGCGCGATGAGCAAGCGCAGCCCCAACAATAAAATCAGCCTAAAAGCCACGCTGAAACCGGACACGAAGTGTCGTAACTTAACTTGGGAACGAGCTTGAACCCCTAAGCCCCAAACCCTAATCGCTTGAAAGTCGCTTCAAAAGCAGATCCAGAAACGCGGAATCGAAACCTTGACACGAGTGGGACTCTGGGCATCGAACGGTTTAGAGTTTTGGGGTGTTTTAGGGTTTGGGATTGAAGGTTTAGGGTTTAGGGGTTGGGAATTCGGGGTTAAGGGTTTAGGGTTGGGAAGACGAAGTTTAGGGTTTACAAACAATCGCCGGTGCTGCCGAGATGCAATCCGTACTTGGCCACCGAGGTGAAGTTCTCTGGTGGGTAGACCCTACCATGAGCACAGAGCTTCCATGTTTAGGGTTGAGGGATTTGGCGACCTCGTCTCGAAGACAGAGGGCTAACTGTCCTAAGCGTACTGTTCCCCATCTGGTCATTGCCATATAGACCATGCTTTCATCTCTATATTCAGTCTAAGCCCAAAGTGACGGCCACAGCAAAGCTGGAGGGGGCACCCACGCTGGTACAGAATGCTGTTGATGGCGTAGCCGAAGAACTCCACCACGGTGTCGGTGGATCCACGCAAGGTGATCTAGGTCAACTCGGAACTGCGAAGTTTCTACATGTATCTGAGAACTTGAATCAGATTGAAAGGCAATGGCTTGAGGCCATCTGTATCGTCATTGAACCTGGAACCTGCTACAGCACTCCCGTGGCGTAGGCCTCTTTGTTTGGATCATCCCTCTTGTGCTTTCCGGGCTCCTAGCCAGGCCGGTCTTCTCTGGAGTCATGGCCGACATGGCACGGGCGCGAAGGATGGAGAAGGGCTTAGGATGTCAGAAAGTTCTCGAAGCACTACCAGTATATACTATACACACTGTAAATCTTATATAGCTACCCTGCATGCTACCACGTTGACATTTCTGGTGCTGCTAGCAAGATGCGCAAGCAAGATCGTATCGTATCAGAGTTTCAAGGCGATCGCGGAAGCAAGCTGCGTCCTGATAGCACTATGAAGGATAGTGGTGGCAATAATAAAAATGATAGTGGGTGTGATCAAAATGTCAGCGTATTCACATGGCGTGCAGTCGCTTTCTCAGCAGGCTCCGGCAGCTTCTGTACGCAGCAGCATTTCGTGCTTGCACGAAAACCTTCCAGAGGAACTTTCCCAGACCCTTTTGGCGCAACTCTAAAACCCGAAACCCCAAGACCTCCCATTTGTCGGGGTTCAGCCGATTCTGATCATTAAGGCCAATCTGTCAAACTACGAAGTCGAATGCGCAGCAATCCGCTCTCAGCAGGTGCTAGGCAGCAGCCGCCTGTGGGTCTTCAGCCCAAGCCGTGTTTAGGGTTTAAGGTTTTGGGGTTTAGGGATTAGGGGTTTAGGGTTTCAGGGTTTAGGGGTTCAGGGCTTTAGAGGTTTAGAGGTTTAGGGGTTCAGGGCTTAGAGTTCGGGTTCAGAGGTTAATGGGGCTGAAAGGTTTTCGGGCTGGGCTGGTGGGGTATATGGTACTCTATACTAGGGACAATATCTGGGGGATAGTATTGAACAGGGTATTATAGTATTCTGGGGAGGCCTATATTACCAGATCAGATCTCGGCTCGGCTCGTTTGCCATCTAGAGAAACAGGTCCCCATCTCACTCTTCCCCGATAGCAACCCGTACAGTTTGTCAACCCTCAACCCCAATAGAACTCCTGCAGAGCCCTCTCGCCTTGGGCCAGGGTCGCGGCATTCGGAACCCTGGCACAGGGGAGGCGTTCCTACATGGCCTCATGGGCCTTGTACCGGGCACTCAAAGCCGGAAGCCCTAACCCTGATTACTTCGAAAGCATCCCAATCCCGACGTCCGGAATGCCACTGCTCTTACCATGAGCCTTGGCGGTGCCAAAGCCAAAACCCAGCCAAAGCTAGCCGCCGAAGAAAAAACCCTAAACCCGAAGCCTCTGAACCCTAAGCCCTAAACCCTAAATGCGAAACCCTAAAACCCCCAGACCCTAAACCTCTAAACCCTAAACCCGCCCTTTATTGGAGCCGTGTTCACCCTTCGCCAGCCTAGGCCCGACGCATCGCCATTTAGGGCAGAGCTGCCGCAGCCCACGGCCTGCCGGGCGACCTTGCTTTAAAGGAGCCTTACAAGAATTACAAATAGGGTTTAGGGCTTAGCGTTTAGGGGTGCTTGGAATTATCTTGAAACTTCAATCAGAATAAGAAACCATCAGGAAGAGTGGCAAATATTCAGGCTTCTTTATTACTTGAGCACTCTTTTCGCGAGGAAAAGCAGCTGTGCTGCTGCCACGACAAGTGCTACTCCTCCTGCTGCTTGCTAGCACGGCCACAAGCATTGGGTCCGTTGTCGCGAGCTTAGCGAAGATCTATGCTTGTTCATGCATGCCGCTGGCCTTTCGGCGGTCCAGGGCATCGGAGAAGTCCTGGCAAAGCTGCAATAGTGAATGGACGAAGAGAGACAATCATGACCATACTGTTGTTGTCACCTATGTAAGGACAAGCTCGTCTTTTATGGGGTGGGCAAGACTCCTTCAAGGCATGTGCCTGGAAAGCACTTACTCTTCCAACGTGAAATGCCCAAGCAGGTGCCTTTGCAGTGGGTTGAGATCTCGTGCTGCGCAGGGCCAGGAAAATGGCCTGATCTGGCGCACGTCACCCTGAGCGCTAGACCTCAACCATCGGACCTGTGTCCCAAGCCCAAAGCCGTTGGCTGAAAGAGTCTGCAAAAGAACTGAAGATAGTGCAACGGCCTACTTTCGCGGACAGCTTCCGACCAAAACTGCCTAAGGCTTCACTGTTCCTCGGGGAAGTACCACACGATGTTGATTCCAACATAATATGCAAGTTGGCAAGTTTAACATTGTTAACACTATCTATTTTTAATATGTTCGATCATGCTGAAGGATTCAGACGTAGGGTCCCGAGCATTTGGCCTGGGTTCCTCCTTCTACAGGGCGTTGCTCGACGAGTTGGGAACTGTAAGGCTGCTCAACAACAAGTATTATAGTATTTAGACTAATATCAACGATGCTCGTCCGGGGCTAACCGGGTC